AGATGTAAATGTTCGAGAATGTATGAAGCAGATTGTCTAGACATAAAACAAAGTTTCATTGTCTACTAGGAAGTTTCCAATTTTTAAAGATTATTTGTAAGCCTTTTGAACTTCGAAAATAAATTACATTATGATCCTAAACAGATGAAGTCTGTCAATGTACAAAAGAGAGTAAATCCATCTAATCGATTATCTATCAGCTCAGTTTCATTGGAGAAATCAGCACAGCATCATCATTCAGCATTATTCTCTACTATTAGAGAAATTTTTCCAATGTAGAAGCTGACTAGCATTCGCGTTACATTGAATCTAATGATGTTAGAGAGAAATTTCCATTATTTATTTTTATTTAACGCTTTATTTATTTATTTATTTATTTATTGGTAAAATAATAATGTTTCATATTCCCAGGTCGATTTTCGTTACTAGATAGAGATTACTTTCCTTGTAAACAAAAAATCGAATCAAATCTCTGAAGAGATGTAACATCCTAGCTAAATCAGAAGTCTTTGAAAGCTAGAATACTTAAGAACTTTGTAGTAAATTATCGCATTGTTCTCGCATTTAATTGACGAATCCGAAAGAAGGGTAAAATTTACCCTTGATTCCAACTCAAGATGATTCACAGATGGCCTCTTCTCGGGCTTATAGTATCAGGTTCAATGTTCCGTCTTACTTTCTTCGGGAACATGCAAGGACCTGACTCGGAACAGAGAGCTTACTAAAGCTATGTTCAATAACTGTGGGAAGTAGACAGGATACACAAGAAGGGTATACAAAACCCTTTATTTTTCTCTATTTACAATAACTTCCGTACTTCGGAATACAAAGACCCACTACTTGTGGTCTAAACGTAAAAATATAAAAATAAAACTAAACTCTAATTTAACTTTAAAATAGTAAACGTGGAAGATTGGCCTTATATTAACAGGAAGCGTATGTAGTACAGAGAACTGTGAACACTACAATACGTTTAAAGTTATCAAGAGGATTAAACCTCTGGCCTGGAAGGCAAATAGCAACTGAGTAAAACTTCTAAGGTAAGCGGCCTGCTTCGACTAACTGCTTCCTCTCTCTCGCTTGGCAAAAAGCCACAACTTAAATACTTGGCGTTCGCCAGACAAACTTTGCATAAATACGTTAACGCTTATAATTCTGGCCGGAAGTAGAAAATAAGAAGTGATAGTAAAGATTTAAAATAAAATAAACGTTAGTAAAACTTAAGATCCTTACAATAGTAAGTCTCGACTTGGGCTCTAATTTGAGGTAGAAATAAGAAACTTATCTAATACTAATTAAACTAAAACAGCCGAAGCTGCTCAGAAATAACTAACAGAGTTGGCTCTTATTAAAGATCATCGGCGAATACTAATAGACTCGTAACAAGACGGCCCAAAAGTCTAAGTTTAAACTTAAGCAAAGACGTGGCCTGAAGGCAGAATACACTCTACTAGGCTTTTCTAAGCTATTCTACTTAAGTGACCGGACTTCAACTTAATCAGTTTTGTATAAATGAAGTTTCTACATCATTTACATAAAAGGTGATTCTGAAAACTCATTATGGTAGGGAATCGTACGTGTGAAATAATAAAGAAAAGGGGTGTTCCAAAATAAAAATAACTATTAGGAAACTAAAATAACCCCTACAAAGAAACTGATAGATTTGCTATAAGCACTACTTAAAACTAATAGACTTTATTATTTCGGGAAAATTTATATTTTTCAATTGCTCAAGTCTTTCCAGATGTTTTACTTTTTAAATTGTTCACATCATATAGTGGAGAAATGTGCCGCCCAGACGGAAAAGTGATTAATGACTGTAACTATCTAACCGAAGGGACCAGGTTCGAATACCAGACAAGGCATGTATGTAAATTGCCTATTAAGCCCATAGTGTCCGTGCGGCATTAGAGGCACTCAAAATATATATTGAGCCAAAAGTCCTCTCGAGAAATTAGTGTTAAAGAAAGAGAGGTGGCTAAGACCCTGTGATCACCCCCGGAGTGTTCTGCCTCAAAATTGTGGCGGAAGCTTAATAGTTAGCAAGGTTGAACAATATTTCATCCACCTATTGTACTACGGAGGTGATGACTTAGCTTCTACCTGTACCTATCTGTCCATTCATAGGAGGCAATGGTGGCCCACTTATTAGTAGGTGCTCCCATAATAAAGTGACCTTCATTTCTGAGCTTAATAGTGGGCAATGCCTATAACGGCTGTTGCCCGCCTTTGGAAAAAAAATTTCTGGAGTAACTTCTTCCCTTTACGCTGCAAAATATCTTCTATTTACGTACGTTCCCAATAATAATAATGCATTCCTAACAATCTTGCAAACAAAAATGATAAGATTTTACTCAATTTCTCTGATTTTGTTAGGATATCTTTAGAGATATACGCGTCTACAATTAAGTCAGAGAACAACAGAAATGTCACCAATAATATTCAATTTTGAAGTATCAAATTGTTCGGTGTATGAGGCAGCTATCACACATCCGTTTGTTTCGGAAAAACAACTGTTTTGAAAAAATTTTCTGCTTTGTGACAACAGCCAATTGCCACAGATCGCTTTGGTGTTAACACAGGGAAAACTGGTTCTCCATTATAAACAAGCTGATAGCATTCGAAGCTGATGGCTGATTGGTTGAAAACGAACAACTTGCAATTTTTTCCGAAAGGAACGAAAAAATCACGCGTATTTCTTTCAGTAGTAAACCATGTAGAAAAACTGTCCGAAACAGTTATCTGTGTAAAACAAATTCTTGTGTGATATAGGCCTTTCAGACACACTACTTCTTTAAAACTTTGACCTCTCGAAACTGCGTGCGCCTTATACAACGGCGGCCGGCGTTGCGACGAACGAAATCAAGGTGAAAGATTGTCTACGACGCTTAGAAGGCGCGAGTGATAACCGTTAGAATGTCAAGGCTTCAAGTCACTTGTTCTTTTAGAAAACCGATATGTCTGAAATTCTATTTGACACTCACATTTTCTTTTCCATTCATTAACGAATAACGTTGTGTGAAAGTTTCAAATGATATTTTTTCTAGTTCATAACAAAGAAGTTTTCTCCTGAGTGTATTTCATATTTAGGTAAAGTCACTTTAAGCTAAAGATAAGGAAACGCAAAAGAATCCTTTCAGAACAAGATTGTCTCCAATAAACATTAACTGATACAATACATTTGGAGAAACTGCATCTTAGGCTGTTGTGTGACTTAGGAAGTACATAGATGAGATTCTGCTGACGAGGCGAGTTCTGACATTGATGACGAGTTATATATTGAAGAAACGTTGGTTTCAATTTCCTAAAGTAATGATGTTCTCTTATTAAATTGTAATACAGCAGGCTAATAAAGACCAGTCCGTCAATGAAACAATTCTTTATTTTTTAACTTTTCGACTCCCAAAATATAGGTGCATCTTATACATGAGACTATCATCTTATACAAGGGAAAATAAGGTATGGAGTTTCCTCTTGTTGTCGTTTTTGTTTTATTATAGCGATACTTCAGTTCTGAACATTTGTTTTTCGGTAGATGAGCTGGGACCACAGCACATCCGGTTATTTGTAAAATCACTTTATATAAATTGCTTTTTAAAAACACATTTACATTTACTACAATGCAAGTAAAAGAATTTTTATTTTGTTTATATAAGGTAATTTATTTCAACAAAGTTAATGTAATTAAAACCATTTTTATTTCCGTAAAATAAAAAGTTACAAATACATTTCATTTTGAAAAAAAACTGAAAAGTAAATCTGCTTTTGTTTCTCAAAGACGCAATCTTTTAATACTTCAACTAAAATAATAAAACGAAATAAATTAATTTTCATTTTCCTCAATAAAGAACTAAATAAACACTATTGTTATCTTTATTACGTTAAAATTTTAAAAACGTTACACTTTTATTAATTTAGAAGTCAAACATATTTTCAGAGGACTAGTTTCGATGGTTTTACCGAACCATCATACCCAGCTGCCAAAGCGCAAATGAACGAGATTAGATATATAGTGATTAGATATCAAAATATAAGATAAGAATGGCTAGACAGGAGTTAAGCTACGGGCGCTGTCTATTGATGAAACGAGAAAGAAAACATAATTTCTTTAAAGGCTGAAAGCAAAGATGGATTGGAATTAGGGTCGTTAACTAGAACAGAAAGATTATCTTAATATGGAATGCCTGTAGAAATGGAAGATGTTTTTTGAATAATTTTGGATGCAGAAAAATTGAAAGTATGATTTTGGGACCAACAATGCTGGGAAACAGAGGACCTAAACGTTTCCTTTTTCCTAAAATGTGCCTCATGCTCTTTAAAGCAAAGTTTTAAGACACTCTTAGTTTGACCAATCACACTCGCAAGGAATCCTGTAAATACCCCAGAAATTCATACGCGGAATGGGTCCTTAAGTATGGAACTCGGAATTTTATGGATAGGAGAATAAACGACCCAAAAGTTAAATTTTTGTAAAATACGTGCAATTTCATAGCTAACTGGTGGAAAGCTAGGAATGACAACAGAATACTTGTTCGGCGTGTTATTTTATCTTAATCTTCATTACACTTTTCTTAAACAACACGCACAACACACATTAATATACACATCTTCTTATATTTACTACATTATATGCGTTATTTATAATTTTTATTATGTTATTATATCCAAGAATAAATTAAAGGTATGTACATAAATTGAAAATTAATGTTTTTCTGTTTCGGTCGAAAGAAAGAAGAGCAAACCAAATGATTAAAAATTCTCAGGTATCTACATATTTTGTCACTTTACTAAAAATACTTTTTTAGTATTTACTGCACCACCACAACAAATTTCTTATGTTACTTCAATTTTACCTTGGGCAGGCAAATGTTTCAACTTCTCATCATTGGATCATCGGAAATCATTGGGAACTAGTGTGCTAATTACTGATGTGAGTTTGTACACATATTTAGGTTGCTACTATCAGTTTATCGATAAGGATAGAAACATAAAAAACTCACTTGAACTTTGATTTTTGAAGAAATATAACTGCAACCTCTCTTTGACATTATTCTCATTGACATAGAATTCCACTCGAACTCTGAAATATAAAAAAGTCGCATTAGTAAATTTTCATGACATAAGAAATGAAAAATATAAAAAAATATATTTCTAAAAATAAATAAAATATTCTTTGAATACTATAGCTTTGCTGCTTGTTTTCCAAACATGTTATATATTTTCAATGAAAAAGATAAAACGAACATCATAGAAATGTTATATTAAGTTAACTGTTCACAATGAGTAATACAAAAGTCAATCAAAAACTAGATAAATTTTAAGAATATATATTTTTTCAGTGAAAGGGACGCTGCAATTAAATAAAACTATGAAAATGAAACACTGAAAATTTCATTCTTTATATTCCTACAAATTTCAGTGTATTTTTTATGCAAAGCATAATGTACCAGCAATGATTCTCAGTTTTTCTAGCATCATGCAAACTCTTTCACTTCTGCTAGACGATCATCCCCCCTCCTTTCTAAAATTCAAAAGTACATATACATCTACTTAAATTTAAATTATTTAAAATTTTTTAAATAAATTATACAAGAAAAAGTATAGAAAATGTTGATAAATGCCCAAAACTTTTAAAAGAACTTTTAATATTTGTAAAATAAACTAATACTTAATAGGTTATAATGTATTTCTCACGCCTTCTTAACATGCCTTCGTAGTGTAGTTGTCAGCACACTCGGCGTGTATTTGAGAAAACCGTGGTTCGAGTCTCGGGGAGGGCATTGCTCATTTTTCATGTCTCCTGCTTCGAAATAACTTAATGACTCTACAGTGGGGCTCGAACTAGAAAGGATGGTGGATAATGATACTCTACCACCAGGATTTGGCGATTGGTCCCCTAATTCCCGAATCGTTCTTTAAAATGGGGGAGTATATAAGGTAATTTTCTCACCTTCTTAGCATGCCTTCGTGTTGTAGTGGTCAGACCACTAGGCGCGTATTCGAGAGATCCGTATTTTGAACCTCGGCGAGGGCAATGCTCATTTTTCGTGACTTCTGCTTCGAAATAACCTAATGAACTAAAAGGCAAACAAAAGATTGACAGAATTACCCTTGAAACTATGAAATTCCCCCCCCCCCCCCCGAGGATATTGAGAACCCCTGTGTTAGACAGAAACTCTGTACGCTCAGATGCCCAACATATGGCATTAGGAATGCTTTTTGCACATTAAGCTAATGACATGAAATTTAATTAATACCGTAATTTAGTTTAATATTAAATTCGTATTTGTAAAATTTAAGTTTAATTTAAGAATTCAAATCATCATTATAAATTAGGAAGCCTGTTGTAACAATGCAACACCAAAACAAAAACTGTATTAAGGAAAATCCTGGGAATTTGAAATTATCCTAGCACATCACAAAGGATGCCAATTGTAGTAAAATCGTTGAACACTGATAGTTCGACATGGGTTCGATTTCATGCGAAAGGACTGATGTATGGGCATTTTCATAGTTTTCCTCATGCGTAATATAGAGATAAGGCAGATTCCCTCAGAAAATACATCTACAAAAGCATCCCTCTTCTTAGGTTTGCTTTGCCAATAACCAAATCAACTAAATTAATTATATAAAAAAACTATTGTCTTTGTAACCATTTTCATTTTAAAAATAGCTTTTTTAAAATCATTAATTAACTGGAAGTATCGCAGAAATCTTAATAGTATTTCTGCTTTGAAATCTTATAAATGTAAATTTTCTTTCAAAATTACAATCAGGCTTTATATAAATTTAGATGTTAACAACTCACATGAAATTATGTGCAGGTAAATAATTTGATTTTAAAGCTTGATATAGCTTCATTTAATGCTTCACTTATGCGACTGCAAATTGTAGTAAAAATAAATCAAGAAATAAAAATATTGAGAAGTATAAGTAACATTAAAAAACTGCATTGTTTCGAAAAATAAGTATAAAATTATCATCATTAACCAAACAACTATTAGTATTTCTTATTTTTCCCATCATGCTAAGCGAATTCTAGATATTTCTAATATCGTATTTTATTGAAATCGATTACTTTTGGCCAAAGTACAGAAAACTTCTATCTGCAATCCGGAATCTCCGGCTTCATAAATAAAGCTACTCTAAGTATTGGAAGCTTTCCAAATTTGAATGCTTTGAATTGCTATATCAATAGTTAGAAAATTCAGGTAAATTTTAACTTTAAAAATATGTTCGTAGCTAAGGTATATTTAGGTATATTTTTATCTAATATACCTAATAGATTTAGGTATATTTTTTATCACATTTAAATGTGATAAAAATATACCTAAATCTAATAACTTCCCATATTCATATCTAAAATGAAATAATAACCTAACAAACAACATACATGACAGCACTATTTAAGAAAAACATGAACTGGTAGTGTTTGAAATTACAAATAGCAGAAGGAAGGCAACAGAACTAAAATTTCCAATTAATAAAAAAATATTTGTGTTTTTTAAATAGTAAGCAATTAAAAGTGCAATAATTATGGATTGCAGTATTTACTAGTAATGCTGATGATCCTTAACACCATTTCTTTCGATGATATGTTAATGTATTTATTTATTTTTAGTTTCTACATTTTAGAATAGTGGTAGATTACAATGATTATTTCATGCACTTTTTATAATCAATAACTTTCCTTTTTGTTACTGTACAAAAATAATTGAAATAATATAGTATACGATAGTAAGCTAAGTACGTTAAAGTAAGCTCTTCGTTAAATAGCACACGATGAAATTTTTGTTTCTATTTATTATGAATTTCTTTGTTATCACAAGCACATAAAAAGTAAACGAAGAAAATAGAATATACTTATATTTAATACAAAATAAAACCTGATTTCCAACATTCATTTATTGAGATAATCTAATAAACATACATAACGGCAATATTTAAAAAAACGCGAATTACACAGTGTTTGAAAGAATAGATTCCAAACGAAAAGTAAAACTGCAATTTGCAATCAATAAAAATATTTAGTGTTTTTTAATATTACACAATTAAATATCACATAATTATAGATTACAATATTTCATAGAAATGGTAATGTTTCCTTAACACTAGTTTTTCGATCATACATTTCATACACTGTTTAAAATCATTAATCTTTTCTCCATACTGTACAAAAGAAAATATACTCTAGAATGTGCATTATTATTATATGAATTAATTCTGAAAGCTAACTTTTTAATATGTCCACAATAATCGATTAATATGAATGATATCCAATATAGCACTTATAACGTTATAACCGAAGCACAAAGCTAGTACGTTTATATTATTGCACTGCTGGAACCGCAGCGATTGTAGACAAACACTATTTCCACAGAGACACTATTTCACGAACACTATATTCCACAGACCACATTAGACCACATTCAGATACACTATTTCAAATGATTTATCCAAAATTTTGGTGTCTTCTTGTAGAGCAGATATTAACAAACAGAATAAGCAATGATTTCACGATGGCAGATATTCACACACAAAATCTGAGCTTCCAAATTCAGCATTCTGACGATGGAATTTCACTCACTGAAGGCAGTTGAAGTAAATAGATAGGGACAGAACAATGAGAAGATTCACAATGCGTTCTTTGATTCACAGTACGTTCTTTGATTCACGTGCATTGCTTTTACTTTTTATAAGCAATATTATTTATATCAGCCATTGCTTGATTCAATTTCCAACGCTGAGTCTTTTCAAACGCCTTATAGATGGCATCTTTACCCAATGACTTGAAAGAACTGCTAGAATCTGAATTAATTGCGCACAGGGATAAATAGAAAGGGCTACCTCATTTCTTTGTTCGACTCCTCGTCGACGCGAGCCTAATGGGGAAAATTAACAGGCAGTAATCTGACGTCACTGTGATGCCACCTGTTATGATTTCCCGCGTTTAAAACTGTAGTTTCATTCAGCTGCGAGACGATTTTCTAGAGTTTACATATCCCAAATTAAATTTAATCATATATATATCCGTGTTCTAATAATGTATATATTTAAAATAATTTATATATATGTAATTTTAGTCAGTTTTTATTTTAAATTCTATATTGTAAAGTACCATTTACGTAATATGGCATTTTGCGCTGTAGTAACTTGCCGTAGCACTTACAGAAGTACGAAAGGGTGAGATATTTTATTTCATGGGACCAAAGGATCCAAATGAACTTTTGCTTTTGACGAAAGAATGGATACACAAATGTCAAAGAGAAGATTCTATTAATGCGAAGAGCGGAAAAATCTGCAGCTAACATTTTCTATGCAGTGTTTATGAAGATGATATGAAAAATCGCTTGTTTGGATAGCCACAAAAAGAAACTGTTGAAATGGAAAGCTGTGCCGAAAGTAAATTATGATGACAATAATAAATCGAAATTGATGATGACAATAATAAATCGAAATTGATGATGACAATAGTAAATCAAATTTTAATGATTTTGAAATAAAACTCACAAATGAAAATATAGATATTCCTGAATGCCCTAAGTTTAAGGATAAACAAGAATGCATTGATAATTTGAAGAACAAAATAATATCCTCAGAAAATTATATTAAAGTATTGAAAAAATAGAGAAAAGAAAAATTTTAGAATGTTTGTTCAGTGGCAACGAAGGTGGACGACATCTAGACAGAAACTGGTATCAGAAATTAAAATCTCAAATAGCGAAATTTTTTTTTTTTTTTGTGGGGGAGGAAGCACAAATCGGAGAATTTGAAAAAATGTCTAAAGCCTATTTTTATAAAGACGCAGATTAATGTATTACTGAAAAAGAAGGAAAAAATCAGGTGGACTAGTTAAGATATTTCACGTTGCATTGTCATAAGAGCTCTGTCATCTTAAAGCTATGATTTTTGGAAAGAAAAAAAATTAAGAAAAAACTGGAATATCTTTACCTAGTATTAGCAAATTAAAGAAATGGGTGCGCTAAATTTTAGTGTAGTCCAAGAATTCAAAGTGATGTTCTTACTCTAAAGAAGGAAAGAGGCGAATATTTGTATTCTGTAGAAAAAATATGCGTTCTC